CACGTATAACACCACAGTAATTTGAATAACGTCACTTACACGTATAATATCACAGTAATTTGCAAAACGTCACCTACACGTATAACATCACAGTAGTGTGAACAACGGCATTTAAACGTATAACATCACAGTAATGGGAATAACGGCACTTACACGTATAACATCACAGTAATGTGAATAACGGCACTTACATGTATAATATCACAGTAATGTGAATAACGGCACTTACAGGTATAACATCACAGTAATGTGAATAACGGCACTTACATGTATAATATCACAGTAATGTGAATAACGGCACTTACACGTATTATATCACAGTAATGTGAATAACGGCATTTACATGTATAATATCACAGTAATGTGAATAACGGCACTTACATGTATAATATCACAGTAATGTTAATAACGGCACTTACACGTATTATATCACAGTAATGGGAATAACGGCATTTACACGTATAACATTACAGTAATGTGAATAACGGCACTTACATGTATAACATCACAGTAATGGGAATAACGGCACTTACATATATAATATCACAGTAATGGGATAAACAGCACTTACACGTATAACATCACAATAACGTATTTCTATCGAAATGTGCAAAAATGAGTTATGTAAATTTTCAACTGAAACGCACGTAAAAATTAGTACAGAAACAACATAATCTATTCTATTTGATATTCAGATTAGACAGCAACATCACTGTATTAATTACCATTGTTATACTCGAAAAATATAGAAATAAAAAATACACACATATATATATATAATTACTTTGTTTTATTTCAAATTGAAATCGGGTAGTTGTTACACATTTGGTTGACAGTTAACTCTTGTTCTATTTTTAAATCAAAATCAATAAACATGTCTTCACCGTGTTATAACAACACCTCAAGTCCTAATGAACTCTGATTAAGATTGCTATCGATTTACAATATATTTATCAATATGGTTGGCTAAGCTGTAAGCTTGTAATCATATGTATGAACTTGTAGGTTCTCATAAACTTTCTTTAAATGTAAAAATATAAATAAAATTAGGGACGGCCATGTAAAGATAGCTCTTTGTAATTGCATGAAATCCCCAAATAAGCAGTAATGCGCCGTAAAAGCTTATTAGACTTTCAGTAAAAGTTAGTAAATGTGTATTGGAGACAATACTGAAGTTATTCAATGAATGATTGACAGTTATATCATGTAAATATATAAAGTTGTACATTAAGTTTAAAATGTCCAATACTTGATTAATTACGACTTTTTTTAACGCTTTGTTTGTTTTTGCTTTCGCGCAAAGCTACTAGAGGGCTACCCACCGCCAACTCTTTTACTCATGAATAGCGGGATTGACCGTCAAATTATAACACTCCCACGGCTGAAAGGACAAGCATATGCGGTGACGGGAATTCGAGCCCGCTAATTGCGAGTTGAGCGCTCTAACCACCAGGCCATTTGATGCTTAATAAACGTATTTCAAACAAGTACCAAGTTTAATAACCACGTTTGTACAAGTACTTTTTGCCATTCAGTTCGAGCTGGAAGTAGCTCTTTGTTTGTCCTCCACGTATTTTAGTACATAATTAAACGTATAAAGAAAATAAATTCTAACTGCTATGATCTCATGGATTAATTCTAATGGCATCTTTGTAGACAATTTAGTTCAAACTTATAAGGTTCAAACGCTGTTCGTTATGAGAAAGTAAAATCCTCGTAAAACTGTCTGTATAATTATAAAGTAGTGTTTATAATAATTTCCATGCATGGATTTGTTGCTTCAATAATTTACCCTGTTATTGTTCATATTTGTGTTAACTACCTGTTAATAAACATATTTCAATATGCAGAATTCTAAGAGAAACATTCGAATCAAATCGTCAAAAATATTAATGTAAATTTTCTTTTTCAATTTCAAGAAAACAAGCTTAAAATTACAGGGACGGCCTATCTTTCGTTTCGGGCCTCTCCTCTCAACAAGCATCAACTGACTCTGTATTATGAGCCACTCCTCTTGAATAAGACAATTAACACGAGCTAACTATCGACTTGGGCCACATTTTGTGATATTCACTGGTAAAACTGGAGCCAACAGATATCTGCTAAATATCATAATAGCGGGAAGACCGAGGATATTTGTTTGCGAGAGAACAAAATGAACTGGACAATAAAGGAAAGACTCAAAAATTTGTGTAAAATAAGACGAAAATCTTTATTAGAAATAACACATGCTAAAGCTTTAACTTAATATTAGCCGGCTTCTGAGTTCCAATGCAGCTTCTCTAGCTGCTGGAACTAAAAGAAACATCAGATCTTTACATTCAATGAAGCCAGAACAAATTATATATATTTCGGTGACGAGGAACCCACTTTGAGACTAATAATGGCTGGAGACAGCTTGAATGGATAATGAAGAAAAACGTTAATATAAGTTTAACATAACAGCAAATGTACAACGTTTCGACAAGGTTTTTGTCATCATCAGGTAACTGTTATGTTAAACTTATATTAAAGTTTTTCTTCATTACCCATTCTAGCCGTCTCCAGTCATTATTAGATTGTATTTATACCATACTGTAAAGTCAAATTAGTCCTTCAGTGGTATTCCACAATCCCAGATTACGCACATTATATATAATCCCCATATTATATATATGCAAGAAGAGAAAACTCCTAGCTCATATCATTTTGTACAAACCTCTTTTCCACTCCTTCACTTAGATATGACCCAAAACCAAGGGAGTGATGACAAAGAAGCATGGCAAAGCGAGTTACTTCTAAAATGTTAATCTGCGAAAGTGGTCAAATAATATTTATCAAATAAAGCAACCAACGCGAAAGGTTTGTTTGTTTATAGTTAAGCACAAAGCTACACAATGGGCTATCTGTGTTCTGCCCACCACGGGTATCGAAACCCGGTTTCTAGCGTCATAAGTTTGCAAATATACCGCTGTGTCACTGTGGGGCCCAACGCGAAATGACAAATTAGTTTTTACACAGACATATCTATCGTCTGAACAATTGGTGAAATATCACTAATAATTCATTTGATGGAACAAAGTTAAATGTATAGCCCAACGTAAGCTAAACTATAACAAGCTTACACTTTGAAAGTTTTACGAAGGAAAGTTGTTTTGTTGACCGGCTTTGGGATGGTAATCACAAAAACCTCTATATGTCTTCATTTATTCTGACCTGAGTACAACTCATAATGGGAAAAGTATCATATTCTACTGTATCACAACAATGTGACGATCTTTACTTTTCTCCTCTCCTTAAACTATGAACTTTTTACAAAAATACAAAGTATTATCCGAATCGTAATTTACGGTATTAAATGTTATTTTTCGTTATGTTAAAAAGACAAATATAATGCGATTGAAACTTTTCAAAAACATAAAAAAAAAGTCCCAATTGGAAGAAAATAATAAACATAACACTATTTTTTGAGTGATACAAGTTTCTTATGTGTTGTCAGTTTCGTTTCAAAATGTATATACCAAAACACGGGCAACAAAAACTATTACTTTCTACTACACACAGGAGTTATGAGACATTGGTCAGGAATGTTTAAACCTCAAGACCCGTACAAACAGCGTAACAGCCACGTGCCTATCAAGAGTGTTTAGGTTTTTTATCTCTTATTCCCTCCTCTCCCACATATTAGGTACCAGTACAAAGACAGAGTACCGCCTTTGCTTAATCAATGCGTTTTCCATTATCATAAGAAAACATAAAAGTTACTGAAGACACTGCAATCAGCCAAGAAACACTGAAGTACATAGCAACTTCAAAGACGTCAATCACACATTATATATGAGCAAGGTAGGTGTATACTGGACCTCCTGGGAACAGAGGCTGCACTTTCTAACACCTGCCCAACACACCTCAATTTACTTGACAGTGAAAGTTCAAATAGGCTGGAAACTGATGGCACTGCATCAACTTATGTGTATCTCAAACATCTCTTACACCAAACAGGTACACACGATAGCAATTTGTTATATCTTAAATTCTTTAATGAACATTAAACTGAAGAAGATGGTAGAACTTAATATTCAGAAAAAGAAAACTCAAAATTAATTAATTACCAACAGTAAAAGAGAACGCAGAAAAAAAATGTGTTAAGTCCAAGCAGTATTGAATGTTATGAAGCCACATCACAACAAGAATGGAATACATTTCGATTTAAGTTTCGCTTCAAATTAATTTTAATATTTTTATCCTTAATGATACATGGGTTTAGCGGTGAAGTCAGAGACCCTAAGATTCAAGCACAGCCATCCCTAATTTAGAAATACTGGTCAGAAAAAGGGTAACTAGTCAGTAGTACCTGTCGCAACTACAGCTAATGTTATCCAAATAACTGAAAGTACAGAGCGTTCTTCTTCTTTTCCGGATCGGGATTTAGGATTGCTAGTCCCGGGAGGGTCAGATTCGAAATCGACCTCTTCCTCCCTCCTTGGCATCTGGTTAATGTGGTTTCACTGTTCGTTTCATTGGCAAAATACTACTTATATTTTATCAGAATACCTCAGACCTTCTTTCTAGTCATGTCTATGCATATAATGAGAATAATATTTACTACGGTGTTATCACCTTTTCTTTATTTGGTTTGTTTGTTTGTTTTTAATTATGCACAAAGCTACACAAGGGCTATCTGTGCTCTGCCCACCACGGGTATCGAAACCCGGTTTCTAGCGTTGTAAGTCCGCGGACATACCGCTGTGCCACTGGGGGGCTTATTTGGTTTGTGCGACAGTCTTATACATCACAAATAGTTCCAATGATAGAACTCACACTAATCGTTAGATTAAATCACTAGGAGTGTATTAGACATAAGTACCCTTTTAATACACGCTATTGGGTTAATTAGGTTTCATTTATAGTAACCACTCCTTGACTAAATAACGTTTAGAATTTTATTTGCATTTCACCAACAACAAAATACAAAATCAAAACTACCCACAATCTTGAATATTTTGATAAAATAGTCATGCTTCATCACGTATTTTATACTTTAATCGTAACACATACATTATTATCTCTGATACACATTATGCAAACATTTTAACACACTAAAACTCGTTGTTCATCAGTATTGTACGTCTACCTTCCTGTTATTATTAAATGCACGACCAAGGTTATTTACCGACATTGTCACCGTTACTCAAACCGCTATGCCATTGCAAGATGTAGATAAACATAAAGATAAGACAGGTTTTGGCGGGTACTCAGCTTTCTTGTTCAGAAGGAATGCAAGAATCCCCCCTCTCCCACGTTGTTTTTTGTTGTACAGTGGTTAACAAAATGCCTGTTCCTGGACAAGTAGAAGATGGATGGTTATTGGATAGTAAGTTAAGGAGAGGAAGAAATGAGCTGCTCTCTCCATGTTAAGGCGAGGGGCGGGGGAAAGGGAGCATATGTTGTAGTTATGTCCCCGCTCCTCGGGATTATGATACGGTGTTCAATCTCACGTTAGACAAACGTATTGATCGTGACCACAAAATATCTAATCACTTTTACGAATCGTCCTATTCAATTACCTTTATTATCAACATGTTGCTAAAAAAAAACAACGCCGCTTTTAGGATTCGAATAGTTTAAGATCCACGTCATTACACAGTATAAAAGCCGCTGATAAATTTTGGTTTTTATTACAACTTCAATTAACCTATTTGTCGAATCAGATATTAAGTAGAATTAGATTAAAATAAGTTCTTATTATCAAGTTGAGTGATTGAAAAGATTAAACCATGTTTTGTATTTGTGAGTTAGAAGAAATACAAATATTTTCCTTGTAAAAAAGGCACAAAAAAAAAATTACAAAATGCAATCGTCAGCAGCTACTGAAGAACAATATATACACATATGTATGCTAAAAGTATACATATTTTGAAGCAATCAGAAAAAAATATTCGTATCTGGCAGACATTAATGAACAAATAATTTACCAATAACCCAAATACTTATTTAATGCCGTGTCGTAAAAACATGTATCTGGTGATAGATAAAGCACATTTGTCGTATAGTTTTAATCCAAGTTGTGTGTTTGTTTATCGGCGAACTCATCCCACAGTTTTGGAGCTAACAGAACCTAAGTTGCTATGCTGACTCAACGAGGCCCGGGGTGTTTTTATCTATATGACGTATCCACCCACCAAGGGGCCTAAAGAGGATAAAACGTACCCAGAAGGTCTTACAGAAATGATGTGGGTTTTCAGATCATTGAATCCGAATTTGGCATTGTATTTTGTGTTTCTTAACGCTCCTCGGGATCCAGGGATGCCATGTTTGAAATTGTATTCATATCTTCTCTCATAGGCTAGAAGGACCAAACAAGTACACGTGTTCGGGTACCATGAGCGGCTGTCCCAACGGTTTTTTTTTTTTTCGGGCACGGACCTTGGGGTAGCAAAGAAGTAATTAGGCACAACGAAGAGCCTTGATATGTATTCTGAGACCTCTGTGAATCATGAGGGGCCTTTAAACTCCGAAGCGGGTGTTTTGTGCTAGTTGCAGAAAACAGTTTAATAATAAAGTAATAAAATGTGATTTTTTTTCAGTAGTTGAGTAGCGAAGTTTCTACCTCTCCTGCACAACATGTTTATAATATCGTTATTGTTTTATGAAGTTTAAACAAGTAACCCATAACATTTTACCACACATCTTAAAATAAATTGTTAAAGCTGTACTAAAACTTTTCAAATAAAAGTAGTTAAAAAAAAACAGAAACAACAAAGTTGCCCTTCACGGTTGCAATAGTTTTATTTAAAAAAAAACCCGTTATTTGCTAATTTTACTAGAAATTTCACGATTTTCTAGTCCCTTTTCTTTCTATTGTAAATTAAAAGTGCGGTTGAAAATGTTGAAAGTTTATTAAATACGGATTTCTAAAACATTGTCCAAAAAATTACCTAGTAAACTACGGTCTTATGTCTTAATATGCTCAAAATGCCCGCCTTCGGCATTCATGCATATTTCATACTAAGTTATAACCGATCTGCAAGAAGTAGTCATTTCTAGAGATATTCCTTTAAATGCTCTGCTGACAAATGTCGACTGGATTCCTGCGAACTTTAAACCAGCTCATTTTCAAAAGTTACTCGTTTGTTCGACGTTAACTTTACATGGAAGACATTTCTAGATACATGATGTACCGAAATAGTTTCTTCATATTTCTTTTTTCAGTACTTTGATTGTTTTTGGACGTAGTAGAGTCTCCTTCCAACAAGCTTCGTATTGGCGTCGAACTTCCGACACACTTTCGTATTTGTACACTATCTGTTCAACACCAATTTCTTGTTCAACATTAAGTCCATTACCTCTCCCTTCTGCTGGTAAGAATCTCCTTGTCACTCGACTAACCTGTAACGAAAAAGTACTATTTATAACACTAAGTTTACTTCAGTTGTTTGGAAGACCCTGTATATTTTTGAATTAAAAGAGACGTGATTCATCCAAACTGCAACACATTATAAGCCAATTTTAATGAAGTTTATATTATATATTTGTTTGTTATGGATTTCGCGCAAAGCTACACGAGGGCTATCTGCGCTAGCCGTCCCTAATTTAGCAGTGTAAGACTAGAGGGAAGGCAGCTAGTCATCACCACCCACCGCCAACTCTTGGGCTACTCTTTTACCAACGAATAGTGGGTTTGACCGTCACATTATAACACCCACACGGCTGAAAGGGCGAGCATGTTTGGTGTGACGGGGATTCGAACCCGCGACCCACAGATTGCGAGTCGAGCGCCCTAACCACCTGGCCATGCCGGGCCAACTCTTTATATATTTATTGTACAGCAACAACCGCCCATCTTGGAAAGCATGTGTAATAACAACAATACCTCATTATACGCAATAAATCCATAATATTATACTGAAAATAGTTCTCGTACTATTTCTGAGCCCATGAAATGACGATGAAGAAAAATTAGAATCTTTAGGAAATGTACGACAGCCCCAGATTTCAAACCTACCCTTCTATAATTAAAATTTTCAGAATATTTAAAATTTACATATAGTTTGTTTTCATTGTTTTTATTTTCATTTCGCGGAAAGTTATTCGAGCTATCCGTCCCTAATTTTGAAGTGACAGACTAGAGAGAAGGCAGGTAGTCAACATCACTCACCGTCAACTTTTGGATTACTTTTATCAATAGTTGGATTGACCGTCACATTGTAGCGGCTGATAGGGCGAGCATGTTTAAAAACAAGATTCGAACCCGCGACCCTAAGATTGTGCGTCGAGTGTCTTAACCATCAGGCTAATTCACTTAATTTTCAGTAAAATGCGATCTTGACCACTATAAACCAGTACCTCGAGGTTGCAATATTTCCCTTGGGATCGCCAATCGTGTTTTCCCATGCTATTATATGCCATCAACTTTTTGAAAAAGGAATTTTCTCTATTTTTAACTCGATCTTCCCAAGACAATCCATAGTCATTTTGGAATCTTGTACGTGTTTGGTGGTAGCTAGAAGAAGAAGAAGATGAAAAAAAAAGCCCCCTGCTTTAGTCTTGATGCAGTGCAATACAGCAGTTAAATTTTTAGTTCAGTGCACTAGTCAAGCGCTGTTGTTCGACGTCTTTAGGTATTGTCCGTGTTCTGTACTCTGTGAAGTTAAAATTAGTAAGAGAATTAAGTTCTGGTTACTTTCACTTAGCGTAACGTTTACAGAATAACGATACTTCTGACCAATAAAAGCTGTTTGCTGTTTATCTGTGTCCAACAGCGTTTGTGTAGATTATTCAGTAGTCCTTCATTTATACACTGTTCAACCATACTTTCGCCTCCATAATCAGTATAATACTTGCCAGTTAAATCCTGCGGCCAATTGTTTATTATTGTTGTGGTATTTCGTTGATGTTTTTATACATACCAAAATCACAAGTGTAATAATGTGCGTTAAATTAGTCTCACCAAGTTTATCTCAAACTTTTATATAACACAAATTATTATCTGCCTAAACCTTTCTCAAATGATTTCTTCCAGTAAAATACAACGTTATGTTATAACACTTTGTTTCCAAAGTCACGACGTCAATAATTTTATTTTGAACAGACGATTTGTTTGTTTTGTTGAATTTCGCTCAAAGCTATTCGAGGGCCATCTGTGCTAGCCGTCCCTAATTTAGAAGTGATAGATTAACAGGAAGACAGCTAGTCAAACATCATCCACCACCAACTTTTGAGCAACTCATTTACCAACGAATAGTGGGATTGACCGTCACGTAATAATGTCCCCAAGGCTGAAACGCCATTATTCGGTTACGGTATTCGAGGTCGCGACCAGCAGATTGTGAGTAGAGCGCCCTAACCACCAGGCAATGCCAGGCCTCGAACATAGTAATTAATAGTCAGCATAGCGATATATGTCAAACTTTACACCATATTAAAAAACTACGGTCATTCGTTTGTTCGCTCTGACTGAAGTCTAATCGTTTTATTCAGTTTCAGCTATATCGGATACATACAGACTTTATTAGCGTACAAGTCGGTTACAAGTCTCTAAACACGAACTTAAATCTGTTGTCATAAAAAAACTACGGTCATTCGTTTGTTCGCTCTGACTGAAGTCTAATCGTTCTATTCAGTTTCAGGTATATCGGATACAAGTCTCTAAACACGTACTTAAGTCTGTTGTCATACAGTTCAAGTGCAGCAGTAAATGTATTTCAAGACCGTCCATGAAATATAGACTGACATGGAAAACTCACTTATTCTCTATTGTGCAGTTCTTACTTCAACGTTATATCTATCTAACAACTCTTAGTAACCTTGTTTTCAGTATAATGCTTTTAGAATAGATTTAAACTAAATAAAATAACTCATTCCTTGGCCAGTTTTCTACCTTGATCAATACGTTTACGCCTATGACACCCAGAAAATATGAATTTCTAGCCACTGTTCTAAATGTTCCTTGAACAAACATCTTTAACTTTTGTGTTAATTTTAACGAAATGTACCAAAGAGCTCCTATTTCACAGTTTCCAAAGCGGAAGATATTCTATGTCAGAAATAAAAGTCATTAATATATGTTCACGTAAACAAGTAGTAATACCATCATATTTGATAACAGTAACTGCATTTACATTCAATGTACGATTTTCTATGAAGGTAATGTTCCCATTTATGTTTTCATCTTTAGTTTAGTTCATATTATTGTCTTTACAAGCAAAAGTACCCGTCCCCAATGCATTTGTATTTTCTCATACAACAGATGTTTTTGAACAAAAATGCAGTTTTAACATGACTATAAACAATTTTTTGCAAACTTGTATAGAACTACAAATACTGGCTCTTAGAAAACACGTATGCCAGGTTACAGACACTTTCGAAACATGGGCCTTCCTTCTTCAGGTTGCCAGGTTACATCTACACATACGGGTATGGGTTAGTTCATTAAGGTATGTATTTATAATACACACATATATATATATATATATCGTCAATCAAACAGCACGCTGCTATACTTATTCCACTTAACCTCCATAGAAAAAGCTACTGTATTAAAACGTATGGTATAAGGTATGATGGGTATTACGACACAATGTTGTCATATTTGGGATAATTGACCAATTATATGTTATAGATGTGCAACCCTCATGCACGGTTTATGTAAAAATAGGGTTAAAACCATCTTATAAGGTAAAGTTAAAAGCTGTTTGTTTGTTTTGTTCGAAGTTAAGCACAAAGCTACACAATAGGCTATCTGTGCTCTGCCCACCGCGGCAGACATACCGCTGTGCCAATGAAGGGAAAGTTAAAAAGAAAGTATTTACATTAGAAAAAAAAAGATAATATTTCCACATACAAACGCGCTTGAGTGGGATTAAAAAATTAAAGCATTTACAAATGTTCTTATTAGATGGTAATAAGCACAAAGCTACACAAAGGATTATCTGTGCTCTGCCCACCACGGGTATCGAAACCCGGTTTCTAGCGGTAAAGTCCGCAGACATGCCGCTGTGCCGCATGTTTTTATTACACATAACGGTGTCGTTCTTGTTGTTTTTTTCCACATAAATGAACGTAACGTTCGCAAAATACAAATAAAAAATACTGCAAATACTTTCATGTATAGTGAAATAAAGTATCTTAATCAACTATTATTAGAGAAAGGAAAGCCGGGCAACATATCTTAATCAACTATTATTAGAGAAAGGAAAGCCGGGCAACATATCTTAATCAACTACTATTAGAAAAAGGAAAGCTGTCGGGGAGAGTGTATGAATACAAAACAACAACAACAGACTGATAATTATAAACTTGCTTATTTCATAGCAAGGTATGCTGGGCAATTGCTGTCGGGGAGAGTGTATGAATACAAAACAACAACAACAGACTGATAAATATTAACTTGTTTATTTCATAGCAAGGTATGCTGGAAGTGATCATACTGAAGACAGCAAACGCGATCATGACTTGTTTAGTGTTGGAAAAGGCAGGCTTTCTAGATGCCCAACGATATAGTAGCTACTACACGGAGCTCGAGATTCCATCATTCACCCTGGAGCTCTCAGCTACAACTCATTTTCCTTGAGACACGCAGGTGTTCTTCTTGTTCATAAATTGCTCGTGAAGCGTGTCGCGCGTTGGGGATGTTTGTACGCCTAAATGACTTGGAAAGTCCCACCCACCTTCAGGTAACTTTGACCTGTTTGTTCCACTAGTCTTCTACTCCACCGCGCTCGGAAAGATTCTAATACACGTAAAAACAACCCTAGGTCTTTTAAAAGTGGTTTAACAACTGATTTTCGTGATTCGTGATGTGAAAACAACCCATAACCAATTCATTAAACTGAATTAAAACTGTGTAATATTTTTTACATCTAGTACTCACAAACAACAAATAATATTAATGAAACAATTGTTTCAAGAAGACACACCTACCTACTGAATAAACCTCTTCAAATAAATCTGATGTCGATGTTGAAGATATTTCACAGCTTGTGATAGCTCATAATTCACACGATGACGTCACATATTCCACTAATGGCAATTTAATGATACTGGAAATGGAAGGGTAAAAAATAAGTGAAAACTTTAGATTAGCTTACAACACATAAAATAACGATTATCTGAAATTATAAGCACATGGTCGGTGGTTTTTAATTAATCTTGTACCATTTCAACAAAATCAATAAATATTTGATAAAACTGTATATTTTCAAATTATCTAAAAAATTGTAATTTTAAATTCTACCGAACACTGACAAATTATTGAAAGACCGACATATTAAAACCTTTTACTGTAAAAAAATCATAAATTTAGAAATTCGTTTACCTGTTTGTTGTTAAACACAAATCTACACAAACGTCTATCAGTGATACCTATATAACGGGTATCGACACCCGGATTTAAGCGTTACAAGTCTTCAGACTTACCGCTGAACCACTTAGGGGCTCGTTTACCTGATCATTGTAAAATTTTAAACTTATGCAATATGCATAGTACAAAAACGTTTACTTCAGAATAATATACAGTCAGAATTATTCAAAAAAATATCTTAAATATCGTAGGTTCGGCAACGAAAAAAAAAAACATATGAACAGTTTAATGATAAAATTATATAACTTTCTTGTACAGATCATAATAAAAATTATACAGTTGTACACATCTACTACCTTTGTATATACACATATATTTTACAGTTCACGACTATTCGAGACTGCCTTTTGTTCAGTTAGATCTTATATCTTTTTCTATAGGGTTTTGGGTATTAACCACTTTCACACCTTACATAACTATTTTTACCTACTGTAACTGTCTCTTGCCTCATATAACTTCATAACCAGCTTCTGCAGACACACACACTTGGTAGATCAGGTTTGTTTCTTTATTCCCCCATTTTTATTAGTTGAAACAAAACAAAAAATATTCAAATTATCTTATATTAGCTATATTATTGTGAATGACGTCGAGCACGTGCCTGCGAAAGCGTTCTCTGTCTTTGAAAACAGTCAATAATGACCTTCGTCCAAGGAAACAATTACTTCACCCAGAAGTATTTCCTCTTTTGGACGTGATTTATAATTTAGGTGAAAACAAGCCCGAGTAGAAAATTACTAGTTGTCATAGGGAAGGCGGACGTAAAATAAACACGGGGGGTGGGGGGGGGACAGCGCGCTCACAATGCTCTCC